AACATCTCTGTGAGGTTAGTATTATTATTGACCTCATTTCCCCAAAGAGGAAACTGAGGCTCAGTGAGTTTAACTCCCACAGTCACAGGGCTAGACTCTACACCACTCAGACCTCTATGCCATCCTGCCTCCTGTGACTGTGTATAGCTGTTGGTAATCACTGATATCTGTGCATTGGTATTTAGCATGTTTCGTATTACTTAGCTTTGATGGATTTCAAGAGCTCTTTATTTCAGTGAAGTAAAATTAAATTACTGTTTCATCTCATTTTTCTCACTTTCATTTCTATTATGGCAAGTAAATCAAGCATATAGCTATGACAAATTGCTTGTTGTTTGATTTTAAAATTCTTTTTGCCTCTTGAATGTAGTATGTCAGGAATCAATATTAAGAAAACATTGTAGAGATGGTAATTTTTAAAAGTGATCAATAGCTTGGATTCACAACCTTACCATTCAGGTGAAGAGTGGAAGAGTTATTTTCGGGAAGTTGGAAATGAGGCACTCAGTGGTGAGAATTTGTGGGTGACAGAGCACTTTGTATGGAGTTCCAGAGTACATCATGGCCAGTGACTTGCAGTTGACAAATGAGAAACCAACCTTCCTGCGGTTAAGAAATTTAGGCTATGACACACAGAAAAACATTCCCTAGAACACCGATAGGGAATGACTTCTTTCTGCAAGTGTTAACCCTTTTCAACTCTTAGTGCATGCCAGAAATCTGGCTCCTTCATATTCCCACTTCACAGATGGGGAAACTGAGTCACAGATAAACTGAGATTCAGTAATTTGTCCTAGGTCACACAGCTGTTGAACAGTGGAGCTGAGATATTCCTGTGCAAGCCTAGACTCATACCCTTAGCGGTATGCCTCTTTATTAAATGATCTGTTTTTAGGTGGCAATCCATCTTAAAACAAATTCAACATTAAAAAGTTTCCTCTTCTCTTCAAGTGAATTTGAGCATGTTGGGGTCTGGAGAGATGGAATTGTTTACTTCTAACTACCTATTCATTCAGCCTCAAAAAGAAGCCCCTTACATGTCTGCTTAGGACAAATGATTATGCTGGATGAACACTAAAAACTGTTTTGATCTTACAAAATTTATTATCTGTGTACCTTTGGGAGCAAAAACAAATTGTGGGCTGCTAAAATTTAGAGCTTATTTATAAGTTTTATTTCCTTTGGTTCCCCAAATTTGCACACACAAAGAGGACATCATGGTTGGATTTTAAGGACCATTGGCAGCCGGAAAGGTAAGCAACATGAATCAAGGACCCCCCAGCAACTGCCACCCTGGTGAAGTCTTTGGCATGGAA